TATATATATATATATATATATATATATATATATATATATATATATTAACGTAATATTTTAAAAAATTAAAAAAATTCTAGTATAATCAATAAAATTATAAAATAATATAATAATAAAAAACACTTTCAACTATATGAGAAAAAATTGATACTTATCTATATTAATACTAATACTATAAAAATTATGAATAATATAACAATGATACAATTGAAAAAAATAATTGATAATAATGAATCTGAGCACCTCTGTTACAAAGAATAGCAGAGCGTACAATCTGTCTCGGGTCAGTACTTTGCTTAATTCGAGCGCGAGGTGGTAGCACAGTGTAAGTTTTTCTGCCAACTTTACTGCACATTAAACATGAACATTCATATACTAAAATTTTATTTCATTCTGAGCAAAGGACTATTAAAAAAAGCAACGCGGTAGGTTTTTGAGAAGAGTACACAATGCACCAAATGGATAAGAGACATCCCTCCCTCTGATACAAAACAGTTGATATTGACAGCTCTCGTCTCGATCCGGGATAACCTCTTGCTCCAATCGACTACCAATTCTTGTCACGTCGACGATTGCCAAAACGTTTTTAAAAAATGGCATGTCTTTTGTTGAATCAGGAAAATGTGCACATTAAAATTCCATCAGCTGACACTGTTGAAGGTATCACTTATTATTGCATTGAGGTTAGAATTGCTTCAATCAAATGGACTGTAAAACACAGGTAAACTTTTGATTCATTGTGAGCTTTTTATTTTTTATTTCTTATCTTGATAAATATTTTAATATTTATCTATTTCCCTATTCAATATTTTATCACAAAAATTATTCTGTTATATTATTTGTACATCTTTATTATATTTTTATTTTATATTTAACAAAATTATTTTAAAAAATGAATGTGATAACTTATTTCTACATTGTTCAAAATTTATTGCCCAAAAAAAATATTAAATGTATACGATATTTACTTAATCAAATTTATGATTATATTTATATTTCTCCTTTTAAACGAGTCTTTAATGATTGCTCTATTATAAAGTTTTTTTCCTATATTATTTTCATATAGTGAAAAATTATGAAATTATATCATAAATCAATATTTGAAACAAAAAATAAATTTGATATATTTATATTTGTATTTTTATAGATACAATGATTTTGCTGAACTTCATGATAAACTTGTCTCAGAGAATTATGTTAAAAAGGATATATTGCCACCAAAGAAGCTTATTGGAAATAAATGTGAAGCTTTTGTAGAAAAGCGTAGATTAAGTTTAGAAGTTTATTTAAATGAAGTATACAACTATTTGAAAAAAGCAATGCCTAGAGAATTAGCTGTATTTCTTGATATGCATATATATGATATATTTTTCCTACTACAGAGTATGGCTTTAGAATTTTTTATAGAAGGGAATAGTTTATTGCAGAAGTCCAAAAGTCATAAATTTAATCCAGTTCAGGTGATTATATATTTAAATTAATAAATTTTTCTTACATTCTTGCAATAGTCTATTTTATATGTACAGATGAGATATAATTATCTTTTTGCAGTTATATGCAATCAGTGAGAGATTAAAACAGCCCTGTCCACCAATTGAAGTGGTTGATAAAAAATACGATTTCAGTCATGTCTTGGACTTTAATTCTCATTTAACTGGTCTGATCATTGAAGGAAGTTCAGAACCTTATAGAACTAGCAATATTTATTCATCAGCATTGTCCATTGAATTAACAAGTTTCAAGAATATAGAAAATCTAACAATTAATCAATATCCAATGGACAAGATATATCATATGGGCAATCTTCGAGATACAGTGAAATATTTAAAAGTGAACAATACAAAGCTTAGAAATATCGTTGAATTGGCAATGTGCGAAGAAGTACACAAAACAATTGAAAACGCGAACGATTCTCATGTTTGGTTTAAAGTCACTCATTTAGATCTTAGTGATAATCGAATAGAGGTTATTGATGAAGCAATTAAATTATTACCACAAATAGAATGCTTAACATTAAATAATAATCTACTCTCTGAAATTTCTAACATCACTCTGTTACCGAGATTGTCTCAATTATATTTAGCATCGAATAATTTCACAACTCTACCCGATGATTTGCATACGAAACTTGGTTATATCATGTATATCGATTTGTCCCAAAACAAATTAACTTCATTATCAAGTTTCTCGAAATTGTATTCATTAGAAGGTCTAGACGTAAGTTGCAATCGTATCGAAAAGATCGAAGAAGTAAAGAATATTGGTCATTTACCTTGTTTGGAAAATTTAAGATTAACTGGCAATCCAGTGTCAACAATTGTCGATTATAGAGTAAAAGTGTTAGAACCGTTTGGAAAAAGAGCAGCAGATATTTGTTTAGATAATGAAAAACCAAATCAGAAGGAATTGGATACTGTTTCTGTTCATCAAGCATTACGCATTGCAAGAGAAGGAAAATCACCTACATTCACGGCTTCAGATGCGCCTTTATTTTCTGCAGAGATTCCAAATATATAGAATTTTATAAATTACAATTTCATTTCAGAAGATTTTCTAGACAAAGAAGGAACTTTGATATAATTTTTTATCATTGACTCAAATTTTTTTCTTAAACATAAAAGACCAAGAATTACAAATTTTCAAATATATTTAGATTTTGATGGAAATCTAACAAGATATTTTATATTTTTTACTCAAAGTGATATCACTTTTAAAAATTAAATTGAATTAATCTGTATGAAAAGGTTCCTTTGTAAATTAAATCAAATTGATATTTAAAATGACAAACATTCAAGATTTGAATCTCAGTTATAGCTTTTTTTATGATATTTATTATCAGTTTATCATGTCGGTGCTTTTTATTATTTTTTTTTTTAATATTATGATGATAATCTAATCAGTATAATGTATACCAAAATAATAACCTGTAACTTAAGTCTTAGATTACGAGTCTTTATTCTTATTTAGATAATTAAGGAAATTTTAATAATGTGTGGAATAATTAAGAAGAAGATAATAAATCTCTCTTTTCGGGGATAATGTGCCACTTATCTATATAAAAGTAAAATTTATAAAATTCTACTGTGTACATAATTATTTTTAAATTGTATATTGCGTGTTATCGTCATATATTTTTTATACGAAATCAGAAAATGAAATAGAAAAATTAGATTGATCAAAGATGTATATTTATTTATAATTTATATCAGAGAATTTAGTTGATATGTATATATAAACAGTTGGTAATTCTTAAATTCTATTTATATTCCATGAAATAATTTAATTTGCAATTTAGAAATAAGAAGAATTCGTTTCAAGAATTATTGCTTTTTAAATAATTAATTATTATAGATAAAATTTATTTATTGTTTAATAAAATTTGCATATAAATTATTTAAATTAAAACACTTGTGTATCGTATATCGTATCGCATATATCAGTGACGCAAATAAAAATGCGCTCGAATCAAAGCAATTATTTTCAAAGTATTGATTCGATACAATTACGCAATTACTAATTTGTTATTTATTGCATAAATTTTTATGATGATGTTATTTTAAAAGATGCAAACGCATTTAATGATTAACAATTTTATAATGGTTTAACACAAATTATCTATAAATGTACATAAGAAAATCAAATATTTTGTTAATAAAGAATTTTAAATCAATAAATTGTGATAACCTATTTTTTATTACTCTATAAATAAACATAATGTATCTTTATTTAAAATGTAAAATTTGTAATAAGAAATAATATTTTTATTTATTATGTGTTATTTATTATTAAATTTACATAAAAAATTTTGTTAATTTTTATAAATTGAAATTGATTATAAGTTTGGACAATATGAAAAAGACGAATTAATTATCTTTAAAGTTTATTTTTATTTAAACTTTCACATTGTTCGCATTACCTTTTAAATATCATACGTATCTCGACAATAGTAAAATATTCATAAATAATAATAATAATAATCATTACAATGCTTAACATATTTTAAGCATTCTTGTGTTATAGTCTTTTAATGTAGTACACCTAAAAACTAACACATACATAAATATTCGTTTCACAAAAGATCACTTTCCTTTTTGCGTTATGATCGCGTATCATATTCCTTTTTCTCAACGAACTTGGTGCACAATAATTTCACAATGTTTTTTTCTACGCTGTTCGAATTTTTCACGAAGCACAATCTATCAAGAGTTATATTTTTTTTTTGTTTTATTTTTTCTTTTTATATTAAAGGCAATGCGTGTTTTCAAGAAAAAAGTATTATTTCTAAAAAGAAAGTATCATATCAAAGCGTCAAAAAAGCTACTTGGTACCAAAAAGAGAATAATTTATCAAATATCTTTCATTTTCCTACCATTATACAACGTCCATGCGTCGTTTATACTATAATCATCATTATTTATTTATGTATGTATGTATATATATATATATGTTCGTATTTTTTTTTGTTGATCATAACCTGATCTACAAATCGATTTTTTTTTATTATTCGGAGTTACCATCTGTCGATACAATCATAAAAACACGCATATACATATATACATACATTAAAGCAATAAAAAGCTGATCGAAAAAAGAAACATTGCATATCAAATATGTATAGAATAATCTTTTTATACAAATCTCATGAATGCTGAATGTATTTATGACATCTTATATACTCCGAATAAAGAACTCGTTTTTTTAATATTTGATTATCGTTGTTTATAAATATTTTCAGGTTATGTTTTGCTTTTTTTAACATAAAAGACTTTGAATTTATGTTTAAAAAATATATAAATATATATGTACATATACATATAAATTTCTAAAAAGACTGAACATTACATTTGATACTTATCATCCGATAATAGAATTGTTAGAACGTTTTGTTTGACTTGTTCGAAGGACAAAAGATGCTTGAATACACTTTTTTCTATATTTCCTTGTATCATGCGGAGAAAAATTATAATTCGCAGATATATTTGGTATATTTCGCTGCGAACCTCGCTTTTTCATTATATTTATTTCTTTGTCATAATCCAATTCCCACATCTTTTATCTCGAAATTTGAACACTGGATATAGAATCTCGATCGTTTTAAT